AACCAGGCAACAAAGCGGCTGCGGCGTTCGCTTGAGTTGCAGTGAGCAGTTGTCCGTTGGCAGCAGCTGCGAGGTCGTTAAGTTGGGCAACACCGCTTTGAAGAGCCAAATTAGAGGGAATACCACTGGATGGAGTTCCCGTGGTAGCACTAGCGGAGATGGCTAGTGAATCGGCCAATCCAGAAATGCTTGAAACAGGTACTAGTGTAGGTAAGCCGATGCCGCCACCAGCACTGTTGACAGCAGCTTTTAACTTTTTGGATATTCCAGTCGACGCCCTCGATGGCTTCGGGCCAAACATATGAGTACGTTCATGAAGACGTCGCTTGTCTGAGCGCGCAAAGCACTTACCGCAATGCTGACATTCATAGGGCTTTATTTTTGTATGAATACGCTCGTGTATCTTAAGTTTGTCTGATCGAGTGAACCGCTTAGGGCAAAATGAACAGGCGTAGGGTCGGACACCAGTGTGAGTCCGGTGATGAATTTTGAGTTTGTCAGACCTAGTAAAGCGTTGTTTACAAGTAGCGCATTCATATGGTTTAACATTTAGATGAGAGATTTCGTGCAAACGCATTTTATCAGCTCGATGAAAAGCCTTTTCGCAGATAGAGCACTTGTGTGGTTTTATGTCAGAGTGAGTTAATTTATGATTCTTCAAAGACTTCATCCCAGAATATCTCTTAAGGCATTGATCGCACTGATATGGCTTTAGAGCTATGAGCTCTTCCTCAGTGAGCACTTTGGCCTGACTTGTGATTGTGATCATAGGCAGAGGAGGAGATTCCATGAGAGAAGGTTCCATCTTAATCATGACACTCTCTGGCAATCGTGAAACCGGAGTAATAAGAGCTGAAGCAGGGAGAACAGCATCATCGGAGCTAAATGCCTTGTTGGCGTTCGATTCGACGTCATTCTTATTTGCACCTTCATTGCCTGTCAGAGAAGCGATTGAATTAATATGATCCCCATTCTTGGCAATTTCTTCCCTTTCTTTCTTGACAGAAGGTTTTTTTCTTTGCCGCGGAGGCTTTTTAATGTTTGGTTTAGCATTTGTAACAGGAGCTGATGTGAGCGATGGTTGAGACGATTGCATATGAGGATATTGTGATGAGCGAGCCATGTTAATAACAGCAGAGGCCAAGTGAGGGGATTGAACAGACTGCAAGCCAGTGAGATTAATTGCCGATTGATTGGAAGCAAAAACATTGCTCTGCTGTTGCTGAAGCTGAAGTTGTTGTTGCTGCTGCAATTGCAGATGCTGATGAGCTTGCTGTTGTTGTAGCAAATATTCCTGAGTCTGCGGGTACTGAAACTGACTTTGCTGAAGGGTAGAAGCCTGGTTACAGGAAACTTGCTGCATGTGAGTAGGATCAACCGTTTGGCCCAGGGCATTTACGCGAAGCCCGACATGCGTTGGAGATGGCTGTTGGAAAGTAGAAGAAGGTGGAACCATAGGAGGTAACGCAGCCTGTGCAGTTGCAGCAGATGTAGAAGCTGACAAATGCTGACTCCAATGAGTCAAGTTAGGATGGTTTTGAACCATGACTAAAGATAACAAAAGAAAGTTTGTGAATTGATAGTAAT